TAATTGCAGGCCGAGCAATGCTCTTAAGCCATGCACCATTTCAATCTTCAAACATGAATATAATTCAATCGTCTGATTCTGATTCAGATATTCATGAGTGTAGTCGTAGTGATATTGAGTATCATGAAGATAGTATTGACGAAATTTTACAAGAATTGATTATTGATGAAGAAAAAAAAGCTGATGATACCGAGAAAAATACAATTGAATTTAGTGAATGGAGTGAATTTAGTGGTCGGCAGAAATCATTTTCTTCTCCCGAGACAGGCAGCCTTATTAGAGAATTACCTAGCGATATCAAGCCATATGATGTGTTTGAGCTGTTCGTTGATGACGAAATGATAGACTTGCTTGTATCAGAAACAAATAGATATGCGTAACAAAAATTAGATAAATCTGAGTTAAGACCATGTTCACGGATGCGTAAGTGGACACCAACTAATCCCAAAGAAGTAAAAAAATTCTTGGGGCTGATTTTATAAATGGGACTTGTAAAAGTAAAATTTATAGCTAATTCTTATCGAAAAACCCATTGTACAATTTTCAGTTACCGCGTACTCTCTCTAGTATGTCACGAAACAAATTCGAGTTACTACTGAATAACTTTCATTTTGCCGATAATATGTCCATTGCCTGCAATGATCGACTTGGAAAAATACTTGCACTTTTCGACAAACTGGAAAGGAACTATCAAAAAATATTCACGTCCGGAGAACATATTGTTATATGTCAACATGTTATATCCGGAGAACGTATTGATGAAACGTTGATTCCATGGCGGGGAAGATTCATCTTCAAACTTGTACCAAATAAAGCACACAAATGTGGGATCAAATTTTTTAAATTGTGCTCAAGCGAGGGATATACATGAGCAATGAAAATTTACTCTGGTAGATCAGCTGATGATATTAGAGAAACAGGATTAGCATACAATGTATGTCTACAACTTGCCCAGAAACTTTTCTACCCAGGACAAACATTATATATTGATAATGTTTACACGAGATATCTTCGGATAAAAGGCAATCACGCGTAGATGTTATAAATAATTTTAATTTGTGTTATTAACGCCTAAATCCTTGCGACTGAAGAGGCAAAGCAGAAAAATTGCTGCCTTACGCAGTAAAATTCGTACCCTCAAAAAAAAGAAAAGAGCAAAATTCAGGAAGAAGTAAAATCAAAAATAGCACATTTAATACAAGAGAGTGCCCCATTAATGAGCAAAGAGG